TAACTTTTTTACTTTTTCCCTCTGATACTTTATTTACATTTATTCTTGATTGCTTTACTTTGACAGTGATGCAATGTAGGTGTATTACTGTAGAGGTACTTTTACTGCAGTACCAGGTAATTTTTTACAGTAGCATGTACCTTTTCTCAGTATCGAGTACTTTTCCTGCAGTAAAAAGTACTTTTCCTGCAGTAAAAAGTACTTTTTCACAGTATCAAGTACTTTTCCTGCAGTATCAGGTACTTTTTCACAGTATCAGGTACTTTTCCTGCAGTATCAGGTACTTTTTCACAGTAACAGGTACTTTTTCACAGTATCAGGTACTTTTCCTGCAGTAACAGGTACTTTTTCTCAGTAAAAAGTACTTTTTCACAGAATCAAGTACTTTTCCTGCAGTATCAGGTACTTTTCCTGCAATATCAAGTACTTTTCCTGCAGTAACAGGTACTTTTTCTCAGTAAAAAGTACTTTTTCACAGAATCAAGTACTTTTCCTGCAGTATCAGGTACTTTTTCACAGAATCAAGTACTTTTCCTGCAGTATCAGGTACTTTTTCACAGTACCGTGTACTTTTCCTGCAGTATCAGGTACTTTTTCTCAGTAACAGGTACTTTTCCTGCAGTATCAGGTACTTTTTCTCAGTAACAGGTACTTTTATTACAGTTCCATGTTATTCATCCTGTTCAATCACTGATCAACTTTTTCTACTCGACTGAACAAGAGAAAAAACTTCAGACGTGACCTGAATCCCAAAGTGACGCTTCCGTTTCCTACTGAAGCTATTTTTAGAACACACACGCACGCACGCACGCACGCACACACACACACACACACACACACACACACACACACTGTATTCCTGGTACTTCGTTCACACTTTTGTGTTAGAGGATAACAATGATAATAACGATGGTGATAATAATGAAATAATAATAATGATAATAACAAAATAAAGTTTTATATCTGAACCTTGTGACTGTTCTGTTTTAAAGACGCGTGTGTGTGACGTCACCGGTTGAGTTGAAGGTGGAAATCTTTCAGGTTAATTTCACCTGATGAATAAAACATGAGCTGAGCTGTGATTGGTCCGTTCCAGAGGCCCGGGGAGTATAAAGCTGAGCTGTTGAGCTCTTCATCATCAGAGACTCAGACCATCATCATCACCTTCATCTTCATCAGAGACTCAGATCCTCTTCATCCTCCTCACCCTCAGACGTCATGCTGCGCGGCTCCGCTCTGCTCGTGCTCGTGCTCGGCTCGGCCGCGTGTTTCGAGACGCTGCCGGAGGAGGCGGCCCCCCGCCGGGCACGATTCTCCGCCAACAGCCCCAGTGAGTCCCGGAGCTCCACACTGACTGATCCTACACTGTGTTGTATTAATACTGCATCTAAACTCACAGTACTTCACTCTACTTTACTTTTATTTACTTTACTTCATTATTTTATGACGTTTTTGTTTTGTTGGATGTTATTTTTGATGTTTATACCCTGACACCCCTGTGTGTGTGTGTGTGTGTGTGTGTGTGTGTGTGTGTGTGTGTGTGTGTGTGTGTGTGTGTGTGTGTG